AATTCAGTCTGTAATCATACTCGTGATTAACAAATCGGACTCCCGCTTCGCGGTTGTCCGATTTTGTTACTCACTCGTATGATTACAGACCGAATTGGACTCCACTCAGTCCTATTACCATTATAAATTTACCAGAGTAAACAAGTTTTTAAAGAAACCTAACAGATATCATGAGGAGATCAAAGTAACAGAGAGAATCCCCCATATAGGCTTATACCCAAGGTAATCCCTCTTATGTTAATTTTAGACTCAGTATCCAGGTTTTCCGAGGATGTTGCTCACCCTTTGCGTGGACAGCCCAATCGATCAAGTTCTCGCCACTGCCTGAGTAGAAATGGCGGGAAATGTGCAGATATTTATTAAATTGTTCTGCAGAGAAAGTCATTAGAGAAGCTAGACAAGCCTGACAAGGACATTTTTTTGTTTCAGATCCTTCGGTCTTCCATGTTGTTTCAAAAAAGGAAGAAAACAATGAGATTTTTAGAGTCCACCTCTTACCACCCCACGATGAATGGCGCCACGTGTTTGCATTTAAGGCTGATCAGATCCAGCGGAGTGAAAACGATACCATACTTTTTGTTTACCCTCCGTCTTCGACAGGAAATCACATCATATCTACAGCTCTGTATATTAATAGCTCTGAACGTTTTCCAACTGACTTCTTCATCGCCAGAAGAAATGAAGTCACCACTAACATTTTTGAGGTTCATTCAGGATATAACTTCTCTAATAAGATAACGATTTCAAACCAGTCAACAGACTGTTGTCCTACAGTCTGGGAAACAACAATTCCAATTTTTCTCCTACCAGGTAAGTTTCTTATTGGCTGGTTTTCTCAACTCCAGAAAAGCAGAATCGAGCACATGGATAGCATAAGAATGAGTATAAAAAACAAGAGTAAGTAACACTTGAAGACGTTCGCGCCCCAGTCTTTCGACGTTCAAATTTAACATGAAACTTTTCCATTAGCAAGTTTTCAACACAAACTGTATTTTAGTAGCTGATATTCACCTTTCACGTAGGTCTACTGTAGGATACCCCTAAAACGTGTACATCACAATCAGTCAGCATAGTCAATGGAACGTTCGGAATCGAACTCAATCCGTGGATTGAGTTTGATTTCGTTCGGCAATCGAACGAAATCGAACACCGAACTTTGTGTGACTTCTATTTCAGAACCAATCGGGCTCAATCGAACAAATTGAACCCAGTCGAACTCAATCCATTAGATTATGTTCGATTAAGTTCGGCAACCGAACTCAGTCAAACACAATTCGATGCCTGACTGCGTTCAATTGTGTTCGGTAAAAAAAATCGCTTGAACAAACATCATGTTATGTGGACTATGTGGTCTGACAAACACGAAAAATACGTTTTATACCGACTCAAGTGTCTAATAATAATAATAATAATAATAATAATAATAATAAATTTATTTAAAACTGAAAGACCGATCAGCGAAGTCCGGGAGGAAGACGCTGGTATAAACCGATGATCAGTATCTATAAATTACATGGTAAAAAACAATAATCAATCAAACAATACTAAAAAAAAAAAAATCTAAACACTACATTTATGATCAGTCTTGTCTAGTTTTAAAAATTTTCAGACTACTGCAGTTTCGATGGTCGTTTGGGAGGTCATTCCATTCTTTGGCAGTGGCGCACATGAATGTGGACTGGCCCATAGCAATTTTAGTTCTAGGGAGATGAAGTTCTCTGTTGTCTCTCAAGACCTTCCCACGGAGGTCGGATCGTAATACAAAATAGCCTTGTAGTTGCCTGGGACAGTTATGATCGTTCACGATTCTGTAAAGTAACTGTAGACGCATATAACGCCACCTATTGAATAAGGTTAACAGACCAAGCTTCTCTCTCATAAACTGTGTGCACGTTAAGTGATTTGTTCTCAAAAGTATTCTCATCGCCTTATTTTGCAGCCTTTCTAAAAAATCAGATTTCTTCTTGCTGCAAAATCCCCATACGGTGCAACCGTAGTCTAAAATAGGTAGAATTGTTACTTTATAAATCTTCAATAAAATAGCAKGGCTAARAAAAGATGAAATTCTGTTTAAAAGTTTCAGTTTGGGATAAACCCTGGAGGCAACATGAGACACGTGATTGTTCCATGATAACGACTCATCTACCACTACGCCAAGATACTTAAAATGCTTTTGTTGTTTTAAAATTGAATTTCCATAGAATATGTTAATGTCCCTGGTGGTTGTAAGTACATTCTGGGACGCAGTAACCATGGTTTCCGTATTTTTTGTGTTACAACTAAGGCCATTTCTGCGGAACCAGTGTCGTACGCTCCTGAGGTCCTCGTTGACATTGTGCTCAGCTAAATCAATGTCCTTAGAACTGGAATGCATCTCGGTGTCGTCTGCGTATAACGAGACACTGGAAGTATGGCATGTCTAAAAACTTGTTTTTGATTTTCAGTACCAGTTTTACAAAAATCCAGAGTTTGGAAATCAAACGTTCGATTCAGTTCGATTGTCCAATTTTGAGTGAGTTCGATTGAGTTCGATTGACTATGCCGGAATACAGGTAATCAGGAGAAAGAGCGAAATAATTGAAACTTCTCAGGTTTAGATTAATTTGAATATGGAGGTAAGTAGAAATGAAGTACTCGATGAAAAGAAAAAATTGCCGGAGCAATTAGGTGAATGGTACTAGCTCTTTACTTGAATATTTTTCCGCTTTAGTTTCCCAAGCTAGAGGGTAAGGCATGACATTGCGACATTTGTTACGTGCGAAGTAAGGAGAGAATCCTTGGTGAGAACACGGCATGCGATCGCGACAGGTTCAGTATCTTTCAAGCTTAATCCTGGGTCCTAGAAATCACATACCAGCTGATAACTTGTCTTGTATTCGTCAAGTTTCCCGTTTGAAGTTATTTTCAAGCCGAATTCTCTGTGTAATATTTCCTCTAGAGAGCAAAGAAAGTTGTTATCCAGGCTGGAAAGCCGTCGGGTCTTCCTGTCTTCGTTTCTTTGTCAGCACGCGAAGAACCTGGGACGGAGCTCGTGCATCTTGTCGACAACAAGGAGGGGATCTGGCCTTGTTAGATAAATCTACATCATTCACCAATGACTTGATTAAGCTGCTTATTAGCATGACGAACTCAGAGACTGACTTTTTCGTGGGATTTCGTCGAACGAGTGTTAAGTGGCGACCTGACATCTGGATGTGGAATGATGGAAAACATGTTGATGAAGAGCAGTGGAAGGGAGGCTACCCCCTGAATAGTGACGATAATTTGTGCGGCGCGCTGAGTACGGATGACATGAAGCTTTTGAACGTTGATTGTAACCATATGAACGGATTTATATGTGAAAGTTTTGAAGGTAAGTTCAACAGTCTTGAAAACTTTGTGAACTCTAACTATTATACGCGCGGACTTCAATAATGCCTGCTCAGGGGCAATAGCTGGAAAATCAATTCTTGTTGGAAACACGATGAATATAACATTTTAAACATTTTGATTATCAACAGTGAATATGTTCAAGTATGGAACTTGGAGCTATGGCCAATTTCAAGGACAAGAAACGAGGTTTTCATCAGTGTTCCAAAAGGACGTAAGTTTTTGTCTTGGAGAAAATCCTGGCTTTTGTTTCGAACGTACAATTTTGGGAAAGGACTTCAGGACGAGTTTTCAGCACTTTCAGGGCATGATCACTCTAACATTAGCAAATAAGAAATTTATTGTAACTTTGTCCAACAATTTGAAATCTACGACATTAAAACTAACTGCAGTATACAATGTGGCGCATTAGTGTCAATATTTAAAGCGTTCTTTAGCCATTCAAGCGAGTAAATTTTTCACTTTTGAAACAGTCATGAATAGATCTTTTAAACGAGTGCTAAATATCGTTGGTTGTGGAAAATGGGAAAAAGTAGCATTCGTTCTCTCATTGTTTTACCGGATATGATGCTCGATGTTTAATAGAAAAGAAAAAAAAAAGCGAAATTGTGTCAGCATTTTAGTTTTCGGATGCTCATTTCATCGATCGGAAGTTCACTTTTCGAAAATTTCGAAATGAAAGTAACGGTATATGTCTATTTCGAATCTTTTAAGAACATTTTCTTACTAAAGGAATGATATTCTTTTAATAGATCACCTCTCCAAGATGGATTATAAGTCTAGTCAAGAGGATCTCTGTTTTCACGGTCGTAGTGGATTTTTTTGTCAACTGTTGTGGCCAGCTTGCAGAATCGGTAACATTGTTAGTTGTTGATGGGGACATGTCTTACTCTGAGTGTGAGGAAAGCAGGACCTCTTACGATCTATCTACACTGATCCTCCAGTGTACACCCCCAAGAAGAGGCAAAAGTGTTATACTGGAGTTTTTAAGCCAGTCATGGACTCCTTCAGCCAGTAGTGTCGCAGTTTCTGGTTTTGGTAAGTTAGTACACAACACACTAAAACAGGAATGTGCCGCTGAATTTAAAATACTGTTTCAAAAACGTGTTGACTGCAACAACGTTTGAATGCTTTTATATTCCGTTTGAGTTAGCACTTTTTTGCTGAGTCAAATGCTGGCTCGATCGCATCTTCATATCAACACTGCTTTTGGTACTTGTAATGTTTTGTAAATCACTATTTCGGTCAACATCGAACACAAAGCACGTGTCCATAGCAGGGGTGGCGAATGGTACCCAGAAAATCGTGGATCTCGGAAATTTTTGATCCGATCTCGAAATCTCGGAAGCTTTTCTGACGAGTCACGAAGTCTCGTTTTTCATGTGTTTCTTTCGGTCTCGGAGTCTCGAATTTTTTTCGCAAGGTCTCGCAGTCTCGGATTTGCTTTTTTAGCAGAGGTTCTCCGGGGAGGTATCGCGTTGAGCGAGCAGAGTCAGTGTTGCTGAGATTAAGTATGGCGTTTACGCAAACGGCGGCAAATACGGAACTTTTACTTCTCTTATTATATTAGGCTGATTTAGCAAGAGAACGGGAACGTCACTTGAGGACGGCGCGCGCAGTACAAATACCCAAATATGGTCAGATGATGACTGCAGGGCGCGCGGAATAACCTTGATTCTGTTCTAATTTGACCATCTTTGGGTGTTTGTTCTGCGCGCGCCGTCGTCAAGTGACGTTCCCGTTCTCTTGTTAAATGAGCCTATTCACTCAGCCAGCGCGCATGCTCATTTGATCAGGTTTCCGCTGACAATAACCATGCGCACGCTTTGATGCTGAAATCGCTCGAAAACATGGTCGGTGGACTGTATTTTTAGCCGGTTAAGTCAAAGAATTCAAGTAACTCGATTTAGATTTTATAAGTGGTTAGCCTAAGGACGTGTGATTGTAGTCTGGAATATACCGGCGTTCCTAAGATGGTGTAATCTAACCTATTGTAGAATACCGTTTCGCAAAACAAACACAACATTTAGCTCTTATTAACCGAGCAGGAGGTCTGTATGGGAGAATCTTGACCGAGGTCGTGAGTACAGA